TCAACAGCTGAGGCTCAGGTACTTTTTTCACAAGTGTGCCACAGGAGTAGCAGCCTCACACAGAGGGGACGAGTACACAGGACCTTCCTAAAACCACTTCAGCAAGACTTGCCAGTGTTTGGTTGAACCTCAGTTCATAGCTCAAGTAGTAAAGGCAGAAATTCAGAAGATGTATCTCAAGGAGAAGCAATATGATTTCTCTGCTCAACCGAGTTTCCAAACAGGAGTTTTACATTATCACTTTTTACACCCAAGTATTGGAATTCATTCTGGGGCAGTAGTCAGTAGATATTAACGAGAAATAAACATTGACTATAGACTGTGCACTTCAGCTAGCTCCCCATTGCAAATGTGAAGACTGTGGTCTGCAAAACTCTTGTGAAAATGGAGGTGGACAGGAAGGACTGCTCCTGTTCCCTACCACCTATGTGCTCCGTAAGATCCCATGGTATTACATTCATCAACAGCTTGCCTCTTGTCCATATTGGAATGCTTCTTTGCACTTAAGCTTCCTGTGTGAAACAAGCAAAAGGAAAGAAATAACGTAATTAACTGTGATTAGGAATGAAAGGTCTATGTGAATTCACTCACTGTGAACAAATTTAAGATTAAAACACATGGTAGAAAAAGGAAGTGTCAGGCTGCAAATCCTCTGTAAGAATTGAATTCTACTACTCAGGTTTCTTCAAATTTTTGGAGACTGTCTCACCAGATTAGCTAGTAAGGTGAACTTACCCCTACTGTCTGGACCTAGCTTCAGTGAGCAACAGAAGGAATTTTTCATTAAAATGATGTGCCACAAAATCAGCGTGCAGTCAGTAAAAACACCAGGTAAATAAAGTGTAGGGATGAGAATATTTCTGTTATGAATGGAGATTACACTGTTTCGTGAGATTCTTTGTCGTGGTGGACTGTACCATCCCAGAGAGGAAATTCTGTTACCCTGGAGGTTAAGCTGACTGTCAGAAACAAATCTGCAGTGATTTGGAGCTCGACACGGCATTAATGAGGTGTATTAGCACACGACTAGTAATGGTGAAAAAACCCAGTGCTTCGGAGGCCAGAGCTGTCAGGAAAGCTGCGCTCTGCTCCTCTGCTTCCCTTTGCTCCAGGGGCTGTGAAGCAGCGACGCAGCATTCTGCGTTTCTGCAGCCATCGGTCATCCTTCAGGAACAGGGTGAAAACACGGAGCAGAATACGAGGACGACAAGCAGCACTGCTCAACAATAGTTTCCACCGGTTTAAGCAAAAGTACTCCATTATTCAGGAAATGCGTCAGGAAACTGGAAACATGAGGGTGGGGGGATGCGACTCGCCTTTCGGAACGCGCGGACTGGGAGCTTGCTGCCGCCCAGAGGCAGGAGGCGCCTGCTCCCGCGACCTGGCATTTCCAGCCGCGACAAACACGTTCTGGGAACCCCTGGGTTCCATAGTGTGAGGAGCTCGGGGAGAACCTGAGGCACGCACAGGCAGAGAAACGGCCTCTTCAAAGGGACTGTAAAGGATGAGGGGGAAGACCATGCTTAAATTCAGCGGTTAAACTTCCCTTGCTGTATCTCTAAGAAAAAAAGTTCAATATGACAGTCTCATTACCTGCATTTCTTTCTTTTTCTTTTTCTTTTTTTTTTTTTTTTTTTTAAATATTTCTTTTGGAGTTCAGATTAATTTTGTCCCATCACCTGTTGTCAGGGTGACTTGAATCTTGAACTGTTCAATATTTTCCTAAGGAAGTTGCTCTTCCTGAGTGACTCAAAGAGACCTGTAAATGAAAAGGGCTGGATCCGGAATACTGACTTGCTGGTGCAAGTGGTCTTTTATAAGTTCTGTCTGAACTCCAACAGAAAGGCAACTGTTGTGTTTCCAGGCTCCTGACTGTACAAAGGATTCAGTGGTTCTCTCTCCAGCATCTTAAATGTGTGATTACTTCACCCCTATTGTTCATAATCTTCACATAAAAGGAAAAGGAAATGTAGCTTTAGAGGTGGAAAGACTACATCTAAAACAAAACGCTCCAGGCTTGGGGAGGAGTGGCTGGAAAGCTGCCTGGCAGAGAAGGACCTGGGGGTGTTGGTGGACAGCCAACTGCACATGAGCCAGAAG